AGCTTTGCGCGAAATTCAAAAAAACAAACAAACAATCTCAAATTTACTGAATTTAAGTTTATCTGCTTAAATCATCGAAATAAGTTTATTTAAAATTGAAGTTGGCAATAATTCGTGATTTATATTTCAGACTTTATTAAACGTTTTCGCAAATTTAAGAAATCGTTTGGTTTAAAGTGTTGTAAATAGCTCATACGTTTTCTCTCCTGACATTATATGTTAACAGATGCGTGCTTTCATTTATATAAAAAAAAACATTTTCTAAACTCATAACTTTATATTAATTGCCAATATTGATAGTTAAAAATATTCATTATTGTAAGAAAACAAAAATATTTCATAAATTTGTTTAAAACCTTTAACTTTGATTAATGCTGATTGTTATAGTTTATAATTCTTAGACAGTTTTTAGATTTTAGGGTTTTATGTGTATTTATTTGTAATGCTTACCATGTTAATTTTCGTTTTCTTATACGATGCGTTTTTTATGGTTCGTTTAATTTAGCAACGATGTTATTTCTGCCCATGTTTATGTTTATGAATTTCTATTTTCTGGCTCTTAAGATTAAACATGTGTGGATTATAATTTTGTGTTTAAGAATTTTTATTATATCTATTTACTTGTTAATAGAATTATTGAACTTTAACCTTTTATCTCACTCAATAAGCTTAAATCTTAATTGTGTAATTGTAATGTGGAACAGTTTTTCTAGATATTTAGAACTTTAATTAACCAATATTTTATCAATATTAGCTTTTTGCACATTAAACCTTTTTTTCTGTGTGAAAATGAATGGAATAAACTTACAAATGCATGAGGTGAAGTACGTCTGACCTTTCGAAGGCAGCTTATACCAATAAGTTAGTCGATCTAAACTAATTCTTCAAGTTTAAGAAAATAATTCAGACTACACTTATGATATATATATTCAAATATTCAGATTATAACAGTTTTATCAACGTCCATAACAAATTAAATAATAAAACCAATAACTTACTTCCTGAACAATTCCATAAAGATAACTTTAAGATATTTCAAACTTGGTTTAATATACTAAAAAATCATCTTTGTTTGATGAAATACTTGAAATAGGAAAAAAGCATCTTTCTTCTCTGATTTCCATAAAATGTGAAGCTCACAAAATTCCCTACTTTTATTCCTCGGAATTGAAAATGTGATAAAATTCTATACATATTAGTTTACGTTTACTACATTATTCAATCTTAGAATGCTCTGAAACTGTATTTAAACGTAATGATGAATTCGCTAAGTCAATGAGCTTGGATGGGTTCGGCTCCTTAACCGCAAGAGTGAACTCGAACTGCTTAATTGTAGCAATGTATGAAATTAACAAAAACAACAACTTTAGTATGGATCTTATTTTCGAGAGGTAAAATCGTAAGACGACTAAAACTGTTGTACCAAAAGGAAAATTTCGCCACAAAAGAGACAATACTGACGAAGAGCTTAATGCAAAGATAAGGTTCAGTTTAGTTGAGTACTTAATGTTATAATGTTAATTATAATTTATTCGCATTTACGTTTTTACTGTTGTTGTTTTTCACAGACAAATGTTTACAAATTACCAGAGTTTTATTTTAAGTTAAATTTCAAACATAAATCGAACTTGATAATGGATTTCCTATTTTCCGACTACTAACAATACATTAGGCTTATGTTTAATAGTTTGTGACTGTAAGTTATTAGCTAGATTTATATATATAGTGTTTTTAGTTGTCTTTTACTCACCAGAGTGAACTTATGTTTATATAGGATTTGAAAAATAGTAACATTGATGCTGATTTATTTTTCTGAATTATTCGCCAGACAAGCTCTTTAAAATACTAAATTAAACTTTGTATTTATGATTACCAAGACAGTTTAAAACATTGAATTTAAAGTTTACATACTCATATCATAATCCTAGTCATGTCATTCACAAGTTTGAAAAGTTTCTTTTATATAATTTTAACATACTTTAATTATGCTTACAAATTATATACAATTTAATTAATAAGGAAGAAGAAACAAGAGAAAGCTTATGTGGTGTTTTGTATTATTTCTACTAAATATATATTATATATCTATAACTTCACGCACTTTTAAAACTTATATGTTTAGTTTTGCTGATACTTTATAGGAACAATTCTTATAGCAGTTCTTTTAATCTTTCAGTTGTAGCATTTTGTCCTTTTTGATATAACTTAAGGCAAAACTTGTATTCTGCACTTGTTTCATAGATAGTACTCAGGAATTAAAGTTGATTTTAATGTTCCTCTGTATGTTTAAAGGAAAAAAAGAGTAGATAATCATTGAACATACGATGTCTTAATGGAAGGACTGTTTCCTCAGAAAAAAAAATTGTTTACTTAGCACAGAATCAGAGGATTATAAAAAAAGTAGATAAACTGTATCATGTAATCTGTATAACCCTACTGGCGCAATATGCCCTAACTGTCCTGGAAGATATACAAACGTTCTCTGCTGTCTGCAAAAAAATAATAATTTATTTTAATTCCAGTGACTTCTGTTTAAGAAAGGCATTTGTTTATGTTTTATTTTGAACGGTCATTTAATTAATCTTTTTTTGAATTTTTAAAAATGTTCACTGAAACCTGAATCCGGAAGAAATATTAGATTGTCCCTGTGAATGAGCAGTCATTATTAATGTTAGGGAAGAGGACATGTGGGAGGAATAAAAAAGACAGCTTCAAACGTCGTATAGCATTCGAGATCTGTTCGTAGACATAAGTGCATGTGAATAGAAACTGCGATGCAATCAGTATTGCTAAACTATTATCCAGAGTGAAGCTGTCTTAAAAGTAATCTAAGGAAATGAATAAGCTGGCAACTTTGCTGTTGTTGCTTTTTCTCTGTCACCATGGAATTGTTTGCAACGTTAATTCTGCAGCTATGTAAGTTAAAAGTAGTTTGGTGGTTAATCTCTTTTTAAAAGCAAAAAATAAAAAATAAAACTTGAAATGTTTTCCTACCTTTTAATATGTTTATATTTTATCTTAATGATTCTTATTTAAGATAATACAATTTTAACTTATACTACATTTTCTAAATCTAAATTTTGGTATATTTTCGTAACGTTATTTTTAACAACTACATATAGTTCTCGTGAATACCGAAACATTAACCTGCTATTTGTCCTATCTTTCATAATATTATCATTTGGTGTCAATAAACTATCTTCCTTTTCACAACATATCTGAAAACAAGAGCTATTGTTTTTTTCATGTAGCTTATGCACTGTACTTGAAGAAATTTTTTAATTTTTTAAAAGTTTTTCTTCTGAGAAGGCTTGGTTAGAGTGCTCGACTCGCAACCAGTGGGTTGCGGGTTTGAATCTCGTCATCGAAAATGCTCGCCTTTTCAGACATGGGACGTTTTAAAGTTGGTTGGTAAAAGAGTAGCTCAAGAGTTGGCGATAGCTGGTATTGACTAGTTGCATTCCCTCTCGTTTATCACTACTAAATTAAGGACGGTTAGCAGGGAGAACCGTAAGTAGTTTCTAAGAAAGTGATTTAATGAAATACAAAACGTTTCATTAAGTTACACTTTTCACGAATATTTTGTTCTTTACAAGTTCTTATTATCAAATATCACTTGGATCAAGTCTATGGAATCTCGACTTATTAAACTGGTCAGCAACTTTTAAAAAAATATTTTGGTAGATATAAGGCTCTTTAAGCATGATGAAATATATATATTTTCACATTACTTATTACAATCAAAACAATTTTGTTTGTTTGAAGTTAAACACAAAGCAACAAAATGGGCTATCTATACTCTGTCAACTGCGGGTATCGAAACCAGGATTCTAGCGTTGTAAGTCCACAGACATACTGCAAACAAGAAAAAAAAGAATCGACCATTTTTTAAATCATCCACTAATTTCTAGATGGATAGCTCTCACAAGCATTACAAAGTTAAAAATTCCTTCTGTGATTGTATAACATAATTCATTAGATTAATTTGATTTCCTTAATTATATATCGCTTGTTAAAAAGGTAAAACCTCGTATCAGGTTATTGGATTCAATTGTGCCGAAACTATACATTGAAATATATACCATTTGTATATTCATACATGACTACATAAGTTTATATTTGTGAGCATATTTAATAGATAGAAAGTTACGTTAAGTTTATTCTATTATACCATTTAGGCTTTTGGAAGAGAAAATAATTACGATGTTAAAGTTATATTAGATTGCATCGAGTTCATTATTATCACATAAATAAATAAACGGCTAAATAACCATACAAATGAATAAATTTCTTAAGTCGATTTGATGTCATATCATTTACATTGTTTCTCCTCTTATTATTTTGGTCTCCACTTTCCACTCTATTGTTTTTCTTTTCCTCTATGAATTTTCTAATCTTCGTTGTTTGGTCTTATTAACTCCTGATTCATCTTCTCTTACTAACTCTTTATATTTTCTTTTACAATCAGTAACCAACCCCTCTTTCTTTCACATTTACCTCACAATGATTCATCAAACATTGTTCCGTTTCTCTCTATTTTCATATTGTTAACGTATATGACATATTTTACGTTCTTTTTTGTCAGGCCCCAACCTTCTGTAGACGAATTGTGGAAATCGTTACTTTTTAACTACAGCCGTCTCGAACGTCCAACGTTTAGAGGTAAACATTTTTTTTTCTTATTTACTGAATGAAATTTCATATGTTTACGTCATTTGCTTCGACGTGCAGGTACGACACTAAAGTTGAGTATTTCCTCGCTTAGAATGATAATTTGTTCAGCAGCATTGTATAGTTTCTCATGTAAGAAACAGTGTTTCATAGTTTGACATGTAGGATGATCATGTTGTGTGCTTCCTCACTTGAGAAGTTCGCTTTGTGTATTACTTCCTGTAAGATGCACCTGTTCCCCGAGGAGACAAAAGCTTTTACTCCTGTATTCAGACATATTCTCATCGGATTTCTAGCTATTTTGTTTTTACACAAAGAAGAGATACAATTGAAACACCGATAACATAGTCAACTTCTGTGGTTTAGGAAAGTTTCGCAGACATACATTGAATTTATTATTAAAAAAAGTCAATCCCAGTTTTATAATCAAACGTTATGTACTAAATTTTTCATTAAATAATTTTTGGACTTTTATTTAACTCGCAAACTTGAGAAGGAAAAACAACTTATTGGTTTACTAAGATAATAGAAATAATTCAGTAGTTGTATGCTTATTTGTTCAACAAATGCTGAGATTCTGCTTCTTGTGGATTGTCTTAAAAACAGACAACAGCAAATATTTAGAAATTACTTTAGCCCAACGCGGATTAAGGAATATAAACACGCAATTAACTAATTAAATAAAAATACCAACAGTTATTTATATTACAAAACAGCAGAATATCCACCAATAATACAAAAGAAATTGATAAGAAAAACAAAACAGTGTGGAAAACTGCATTTATTGTGCTTTCAAACTGGAGGCTTCAGATGGAATTCTTACACTGTACAATGCCATGTTATATGACGAAGCATTGTTACGAATCAGATATATATTTTTAGCAGTTCGCTCCTAACCGAATGAATGCTTGTTTTCATCTATTGCACATTCATTGTTAAAGAGTTAAAATCATTTTCACAATATTACTTTAAATCAATATAATATTTAAGGAAACAGAGTTCATTTGTTCTATTTTGTTACTGGAAATTTTCTACTATCACCAGTTTTCCACTATCTCCATATATATCATAAAAAGCATACACACTTAAATTTATAAATTTTTATAAAATAAACAGAAAATTAATTAATCTTTGTCATAATTACGACCTCGATGACGAAGTATCACTGGTAGTTGAAAACGTTGTGAGAGTTTGATGATGTGTTTAAACAGAATACTTTGAATCTTACCAAACATATACATATTTAACGTTCAATGTGGAAACATGACAGTTAATAAAATCCCACACTATGCAATACCGAAATCAGTTGAAAGAAGGAAGTTTATGATATATTGAACGGACTATATATAAATTAACATTCTTAATTTTTGTTATTTAATATTTTAGACTTGGCATGAAAAATGTGTTAGCCTTTCCTGACTTCCTCAATAGTCATTCACTATATTGCTTATTGTACAAACATATTTATAGTTGTTAGTTTGAATTAATCTAATTTAGCAAGTATCTGGAACATATTTAATATAGAGTTATGACTATATTTATTGTTTTTCTAGGAAACATATTTTTTTACCCTCGTATTGTAGTATTCTAATGCATTATCAATAAATTTACCTTCAAATTGTAGTATTCTTGTGCTTTATAAAAAGTTTTTAATTCAAAAGATGAAAATACCTATGAATATAAATTATATTTTAGGTGATCCAGTTACAGTAGAAGTGTCAATGTACATTCTGGACATACCAAAAGTGAATATCAAGACAATGGTAAGAGCATTAACCATTAAGTCAGACTGGGCATTTTGCAGATAAGCTTGAGTTAAGTCAAGAGTTCATAATTATTTTTTGTAAATAATACTTACGATATAATTTATTTTCTGGTAAAATTACTGTAAATCAGGTTCAGATGTTTATGAAAGCATTTACACGAAGGATATAAAATTGCTCATTTTTGTGAAAAGATAACTTCGTGATAGCGAAAAAAAGAGCATAAAAATGACTATTATATATAGATCTTTACAAAATTCATAAAATGACCACAATTGATGGAAATATTGTATGCCATTGTCACATTTCTATTACTCTTTTTATTAAAAACAGATTAGTTAATTATAATGATAGCCTAACGGCATTCGCCATGCAATTTTGGCCTAATAGCAAATATAAGCTTCACTTTAAAGATTAATCTGTAAGATTTTGGTTCTAATTTCAGAGGGCGCCTTGCATTAGTTTTGTCATGCACTTTAGTTTAAACTTGTTTTAAACTATAAGTATAGATTACTTTTGAACACAAAATACGTATTTTATTTTAGATATACTAGCCGAGACCCACAAGATGTTTACAATCAAATTAGTATCTTTATTGCAACAGTACTTCTTTAAGTACAGGATTTCTAGAATAATATCAAAATCTAATCGCAGACACCGAAATCTGTAAGTCTAATTGTGTAGTCTTAGGCCTAACATTAGTTAAGGCTTTATTAAGTACGGTCTATATTCGATAGATATGAATTAACACTGTAATTTGTGTACGTTTTTTTGCTGTAGTTTAGTTAGGATTAAACTTTGCTGTACTTAATACAAGCCCCCCAGTGGCACAGCGGTATGTCTGCGGACTTACAACGCTAGAAACCAGGTTTCGATACCCGTGGTGGGCAGAGCACAAAAATTCTGCTTACCCATGGAATTATGGAGCGGATGTGGAACAACGTCCCACCAAAGACCAGAGATGGGACCTCGTCATGTTCGGATTTACGAGGAGATAGTGGACCTCCTGCATGAACAACATAAGACCTGACAGTGTTCATAAGAGGGTCCAAGCACCTGCCCACCGGATAGCTAAGCATCAAATCTAGACTGGTTTTACAAGTAAGCTCCAGCATAGGTTGGTCCTGCTCTTACCTCCATCTGGGAAAAAAACTTCCAGAAACCCCAACTTCACCCACTTTTCCGAGAGTGGAGAAAAGTCAACACTCCGAAGGAAAATCCTCTGTCCACCAACCCAGTGACTGGGAACTGGGTGTGGTAAAGACTCCTCAGCTCCACTAGTAGAAGTAGGAGGGAGGGGACATAAGCTTTGGGAAGTCCTGAGGAACATGTCTCCAGAGACAGTGGAACAGGTGAACCACATTCCCTAATTTTTAAAAGCAAACTGATCTTGACTGATTCAGCTCTAAGATCAGCAGGGACTGGCAAAATCCACTTTAGCTTTATTCATGATAGTCTATGAGTAGCAGTCCATTAGAAATGTTGTAATAAGATATCAACATCTAGATCTTCGTCCAGCTGGTCTTATGGAACACCTCATCTGGACAGAACCCATTGCAACCAGGAATCGATATAAAGGTTGCTAGTGTGGAATTTAAATACAAGCATACCCTACTGGGCAACACTCACCACTGAGTGGGATCCAAAAAAAATCAATAGGGACCCTAGAAGAGAAAATAACAATAACTGTAAGTCAGATAACATGTTACTCACCTGTTAAAATCTAGTAGAGGTAGTCAATACAGCCACAGGGGGAAGAAGAAATCTCATCGAAGAGGAAACTACCAAATTGTGAAGGTAATGAGATATGAACGTGTTGGGAGAAGTCCACATACCGGCCCACAAAATATCTTCTAGAGAACAGTTCAACTGGGCAGCCAAAAACATTGATAGGTGTCGAATCTGGTGAGAGGTGACACAGAGCATATTGCGATCATTAACAGATAAGCTCGAATGGGCAATATGGATCAACTTCTGAAGCCATCTGGTTAAAGTAACAGGTGATAAATCCCTGGACACTGCAGGATCCCAATGAATAAAAAGACTGTTACTAGGGCCTCCAAATGGTTCCATACGAGCCACATAACATCTGAGCACATTGACGGGACATAACAAATGATCTGGATCTGATCTACTGTAAAGATGAGAAATGTCAGGTAAATGAATAGGAGAAAAAGATTTGTTTCCTTCTCTGGCAGCGAGAGTTCTTGGAATAAATAATCAGTTGGGATAGAGCAAAACATATGCAGAATGATAGAGAGTCTGCTGAACATGAATGGCATCTGGAAGCTAACAGCAATAAAAAAATAAACTGTGAGGGAAAAGTGATATAATGAACAGGAGGCCATGGGTTCGAAGGGATGACATGATAAAGCATGTATATTAGGTAGAAGATAGCTGATTAGATGTGTAAATCCTCCCCAGAATATCTAATTTCAGAATGAAAATTTAAATCAGCACCTCCTGGAGAGATACCCCCCGGGCTGCATGAAGGACTCCATCTTGCCCTGAATCAGGTCACGGATAGCTTCCATGGAGAGTGGCTCCCCCCTGACTGCTGACCACCACTAGATAACAAAGGATGAACAGACAAAGGCTGAGTAGCTTCCGTGCTTGAAACCATTACACGGGAGTTCATATCCTTTTTTTTTTGTAATATATTTGGAGGAAAAAACAAATTCAACAAAATATATCTCTGGATAACAAAACAAAGAATTCCTGATTATTAGAAAGAGAAAACTAAGAAAATGTAAATCATAAAACTTTAGTCTGAATGCTCAGGCTTTGTCAAGAAAAATTGATTTTATTGTCTGCATACAACGCTAATATACAGTACCCACATAGAGGGCGTGTGATGGCCGGCATAAAGTTTTGCAAATTAGATACTGTCGAGGGCAGTCGAGTTGGGTATATAAAGACTGTAGCAAGCAAACACAATGTTAGCAAAGATGAAGATCGAGAAATAGCTGTTAGTGTCAGCGGAGGTATGTATGTTTTGGAAGACAAAGCACAAACACAACCAACAGTCTGTAAACATATGCAAGTATTAAATGGCTTATTATAACCTAACATTAGCATAGATTTATTATTAGTTGGCTGCACATCTAACAGCATAGATCTATTATTAGTTGGCTGTACATCTAGCAGCATAGCCTTATTATTTGTTAACTGTACATCTAACATTAGAACACTTTTATTATTTGTTCACTGTACATCTAACATTGTGTTAAAGCCTTATATTTCTTTTAGTCATTCTTTGAGAATATATCATTCAGTAAGGTTTCTTAAACAATTCATTTTTAATATGATGGATGGCTATCTACTGGCCTAAAGGATGTAGTTAAAGTGACCACAGTCATGATGTTGTTGCGTTTGGGATGTTGGCTCTTTAACAGGAAGAGAAGGAGACTAATAAAGGTGTTATTATAGATGGTGAAATAAAAACATCATATGGAATTGTGTAATTTTTCTGTTTAGGTTCAACAATGCTATCAGAAAATTATAGATATGTGTCAGCACCTTGGCTTTCTACAGATTTTGATGAGGACACGTCATTAAGGGAATCAGCTTTCATATCCAGTACTTTGGCTACATGGAGGTCAGTGAAGCAGGAAAAAAAAAGAAATGTAAAAGGAAATATCAATATCATGCAAAATAATTATTACACATGTCTGGGAACACAAGAAAAAACTTAAAAAACTAACCACAACAAACTTATCTACATGCGCATGTGGAAGCGTGTGTAGAATTACTATTATTATTACGAAAGCAAATGCCTTAAAACTGATTCAAAACATGTAAATCCTCAAAGACAAAAAGGAAATATATATGAGTAAAAAAAATGTGAATTTAAGTTTCTCTGTTAGTTTTATTTATAATATTACACTAAAACTTAATCTAGAACTTCATAACTGCATATATGTTTAAATTCATAAATAAATGTTATCATGTTAGATTATACCCATAAAAATCTGTTGCGTAATACAAGAGTATTAAAAAAAATTGTTTTCATTTTACCACATTTGAGATATTTTAGAGCAAAAATAACACCACTGCAATCTTTTTTTTTTCTTTTCAAAGCAGAATTGAAGCTTTTATTTTTGTAATGATGCTTTAAGGGTTTTTTCAGGCAACAGAAAAAACAATAACACAATTTAGGGGTAAAATGCATAATGGCAAAAAAAAATTAATTTAAAAAAATGCAAAAATCATATACATAAATATATACCTTCTAATTCTAAACCTTCTGCTTTTTTAAATGTAGTAGTAGTGATAACAGTACCAGTTGGTGTCACTCGACTGTTTGTTTCAATCAGCCCGGTCAATTTTCCAGAGGCATCACCAATAACAGGCACTTCACCTCCCTCCATAAATAAGAACTGAAATTATCAAATTAGGCACATCAATTCACAATTGACAGTTATTTTTAATTACAAAATTGCTAAATTTGCTTTTATAGTGTTTTAGAATTTTTGCACAAACCTATACAAGGGTAATTTGTGCATAGCCATCCCTAAATCTGAGCTGATAAGCTAGAGAAGGCAGTTAGCCAACAGCACTCACCACCGACTCTTGGGCTACTCTTGTCTGACCAAATAGTGGGATTTGACCATCACTTTTATAGCTTATGTTGCTTTTTGTTGGTAGACACAAACATGCAATCTGTGCTCTGATCACCATGGGTATCAAAACCCAAATTTCAGCATTACAAGCCCTCAGATTTAGTGCTGAGTCATCAGGGAGCTACAGTTTATGTGAAAACTTCTTACATCAATGTCATTTGGATCATGAACCTTCAGGTCACAATCCAGGCCCACTAACCACTAGGTAATGCCTAGTCGACTACCTTGACAAATGTTCATGAATTACAAAATTTTGGATCGATATTTATAATTAATAATTGTATTTTGTCCTATTTTACACAGTGCCCTTCAATAATAAGTCACGGCTAACTGAGAATTGAAAGAAACATTCTATTTTCTAGTATTTTTTAGGTAAATAATCAAAGCAACTAACAAAAGCATCTATGTATTCTTAACATACTTAAAACGTGAACTTTACCATTTCTTTCTTTTTAATATAAAGTGTGTTACTTTTTTTTCCAAAACCCATATTTATTAACAGAACAGTGTTTCCTTTTACATATTCTGATCTAAGAAATGTTATGACAGCGGAAGTCACGCGACACTGGGAGCATGTGCGCTGGAGTTTCTAGAAGGATCATGACTTATTGAGGAACCTCGCGAATGTCCCAGTGTTTGCCAAGCGCCCTCTTTTTTAGTATATAAGCCTGGTGGAGAAAAACCAACACAATTGCATAGGCAGACAGATCGAAGAGATAGATTGAAGATATAGATAATTGAGTCAAGCGAACAGTAGGCACCGTAAGTAAAGTGTGTGAATCACTGTGAATTATAGCATGTGTTAAGTAGTTAGGTTTAACGTACTGATTGGAAATTCTGTGTATTACAAAGTTGTATCGAGAAAGAATAAACTAGTTATAATCAAGAAGTGACTTGTATCGCTGAAGTTCCTTGGAAATAATTTATACCGAAAATTAACAAATGAGCAGTTTCTGGGTATGATATTAAGTGCTCTTTGGAATATAGAATTGCCAGTACTGCATACCAGCCTATTTCAAGCACTACATATATATAATTTATAGCCAATCACATAATGTTGAACTTCAAACTTATGAAATTAAAATTATTCACTTTCTGCTTTCAATCCTTAACATTTTGATCATTAAAGGTACTTGTACTATTAAAGAACTAAATTATTCACAAACATTTAAAAGATCATTTTCAACCACCAGCAAATGATAATTTGTGACAACTCTTGCTTTAAGTCATTCAATAGAACGGACCTAACCATGAAGCGTGAGTTGGTAATACTATACGTAAATGAAGCTGACCTCTACTGTGAGAGAACCTGTCACAGAATCATCTTCATTGGGTTGAGACTGCAGAGGAATGACCTGTTTCTGACTTGGATTACATAACAGCTCTCGGACACTCACTATTCCAAGGCCTAAGAATTGACCTTCTGCAAAAGAACAGGTGATGTATATGCCGCAAGAAATCACCAATCAAAGTTACTCTAAACAAATTCCATTAAATCCATTAGAAAATTATACCAACAATTACAGATCATAAATCAAAACCCTACGACCTTTACTTCTTCACTGTGAAAGCAGTGTTTATTACCTGCACGGAAAATATTTTTCTTTTCATAATTTCACGGTTTCAAAACCACTAAAATGTTTATTTTATGGTTTCGAGGTAGAATACCTTCTTTTGTAATACCAAATACATGCATCTTTTATACCACTCAAAACTCACTTGCATGACATTTTTAGGCCTACTGCTACAATTTATGCAATTTATTTACATACTTTACAGGCATCCAATATTCAACCATTACTTAGGGTTTCTTTGACATTTACTGCTTTGATTTTTCTGGGGTGATATAGAAGGAAACTTCTTGTAGAAGTGAAAGCATAGTTGATAGTTGTTTTTTTATGTTTATCATAGCTAAATAGCAATATATAGTTAAAAAATGAAGCAGTGAATATCATTTGATATATCTCAAAAATTTCTGTGAAAGCGCATTATCCTTCTCAAGATACGTGGTAGTCATAGTCATAGTCTATACACAACTAACACATAGGGCAAAAAATTGGTAAATATTTCACCAATTTTTCCATTTAGTGTACATACGCTACCATTAACCACTATGATAGATTAACTCAGTTCTTTTGTCCACTCCTCAAACACATTTTTCAGTTAAGCAGTCGTATCATGTGGTCTACAACAGTGGTTCCCAGATTTTTGGTAATCACGGATCAGACCAACATTCCAAATAACATATCAGTTAGTTACATAAGTAAAATAATAAGAGATTTACAAAAAACAAAAACAATTTATTTCAAAAACAAAAAAGAAAAGGTAGACTTAGGTGATTTTTAGTCATCAAATATTGAAGTAAACATAAGTGTTACTGCTTTCAACAGCCAAGACACATTACAGAATGGTAGAAATTAAGTCAAGGACCAATACCGGTCAAAGGACTGGCATTTGGGAAACACTGGTCTACAAACATATAACCACTAAAAGACTTAGAGAATAACCTAGAATGCATTATTTGTGTAGCTGAAGTAAATAAATCCGTGTGAGGATATTATAAGGTTTTTTTTGTTTTTGTTTTTAATTATGCACAAAGCTACACAAGGGCTATTCTTGCCCACTTGGTGAGGGAGTAAAGACAACTGTTTATAAATCCAGACTGGATGAGTTCTGGACTTTGATGGAGTATGGCATGTGATCCCATCAATCCAGACCTGGGATGTTGCCTTTTGGACTTCTTCAGGTTGATCAGAAGGATTGTCCACTTTAGTGTTGCTTTCTTTCTTTCATAAGTCAGGTGGTTTGAAATGCATCACTCTGTGGTTACTGGTAGGGATCCTATCACAAAGATATATATATATATCTGTGGTTCACCTGCCCTGCCCACCAACGTGGGATATGGGTACCATGACCTCTTCAATCCAACCTGAGTTGTGGAACCTCGGCTGTTTTTCTGTAGTTCTGGGTGAAGAGCATACCTGTTCTGGATGTAGTGCAGTGTTCCCCCACTTTGATACCACTTCTCGTAGTACATATTTGTTCTCTACAAACGCTTTCTGTAAGATCTCTGTCCTCACTGGCCCCTCTACATTCTCAATGTGGGATTCTAGCTATTAGTGTCAGTGGAGGTATGTATGTTTGGGAAGTTATTTTCCTAAACTGAGATGTATTTCCAAACATGTTTACCTCCGCTGACACTCTCCCTCCCTTCCTCCCCACTAAGAGCTGGAATGTGGTAAGTCTCGAAAAAGTGATTTTATTGTCTGCATACAGTACCTGCATAGAGGGCACGTGAGGGCTGGCATAAAGTTTGGCAAATTAGATATTACCGAGGGCAGTCGAGTGGGCTATATAAAGACTAGAGCAAGTGAACACAACATTAGATAGCAAAGATGAAGATCGAGAAATAGCTATTAGTGTCAGCGGAGGTAAGTTCATTTAGCATCACATGATATTAGCTTAAGCAATTAGTATAAATAATGATACTTGATACGGTTATGCCTATTGTGTGGGGGTGATGACAAGAAACTATTAATCTAAATTTCATGCCGTTACTATAAAGGAAGCTATTAACACTGTTCTAGAGAGCAAACTACCCCCATATATTTTAAAGAATCTGGTTGGTTCTGTAAAGTAAATGTATGTTCCGAATAATAGGATTGCGATAATAAAGCTAATGTTGGTTACTATCGAGTGTCACTTTCTTACTTGCTGTGGTGTGTTGGTGTGTGTTGATAAAAAGGCATATCTCATCAAAAAACACCTTAGTTGTGAAAAAAAGTGCAAGAAAGAAGGATTGAGTGAGCGACTTAAAGGAATGAAATCAAAATTTATGGCCAAACTAGTAGCTACACATATAGCATTATTAATACTTTTCCAGCAGATATTCATTCATTAGTTAGCCTAGCCACATATTTTGTTTTACCCACCATCATGCCCCAACTTGAACAAAAATCACAGCCTGGTTATCTAATGAATGAATATTTGCTGTAAAATTCTTAATGTTATCATTTTCCTAAACTGAAAATGTATTTCCAAACATTTTTAATTAGGAGAATTTCATAAAATGTAGCAAGTTTGTGCTTAAACATTGCCAATGAATAATAACTGCCCACCCATATGTTTGTTTTGAAAACTTGAGCTATAAACTGCTAAACTAGTTTGTTTGGCCTAACTAATACTTAAGTATCTGCACGTTATTACACCCTATAGTTTTCCTGCTCTAAATCAGCTGTCTTTAATCTGAAGAACAAAAACTAAAAGTGGTCTACATTTACTCTTAGGTGAAGCTGTAGCAAAAATTTTAGACCAATAGCTCGCATAACTGTTTATATAAGCGTGCTCATAAAGTATGGTCAAAACTGAGCAGTTTTTATTGAATAACTTTGGACATGTGGCTTATATTTAGAACAAATTTGATGCCTAACTTTATGTTATAAAGATCTGTCAGTGTACTAAATTTGAAAAACAATCCATAAAAGTTAAGTTTGTTTTTTAATCAAATAAAATTTCCATACTTTCAGTGTGGAGAAAAAATACAAGAAATTCAATCAAAATTGGAGATTTTGTATCTCGTGTATTTCTGGACGGATTGCTGTGAAATTTGGTATGTGAAGTAAAAGTCCAGTAGAGCACATACATTGAGAATATGTAATAATTTGGATTACCAAAGTTTGAGTTACAGAAAGTTGAAAATCGCTAAACTATCACTCATGTTAAAAACACAAATTGTATCCTGCAGGTTGTTTTGGCTGCATGACACACTACCATTCTTGTTATTTAGAAAAAACTGACCCATTTCTCATTATTGTCCATCATTGTTCAGGTTTTCTGGATTTTTGCCCATGTTGGTAATTGTGGGAATGAACTTGCTGAAACCACAACAAAGTCATATGCTTTAGCAATGTCACAGCCTTACCTGTCCCTTATGTTGACTTCAGGCCTGTCATAAAGACAAGGTTTCACACTAACTGGCAGTTAATTTATGGTGAGAAAAATCACAAGAAGGTTGCCATGGTAAAGATTTCTGGTTGTTTTGCCATCTATTTTTTATAGGAATTGGAGGGAGGAAGTTCTCTTGAAAAGGCTGCACATTGGCCAATTTCATTACTCATTGATTTCTTTTACAGGAACTGATTTGCTAATATGTAGCCTTTATGACACTCAGATAACTATTGCCGACATTCTGCTGTTATTCCAACTATAAGAATACCAGCAAAAGCACCATTTTAGATATTTTTTATCTCAAAGTTTGCATTTAATATTGGTTATTGACAATGGTGACTTTATCCAGATTGATTGTGGTGTTAGGATTTCTGTTGGTTATAGTTCTTTTTCGTGTTATTTTATTTTTAACCTGGTTTGATAAAAACAAAATGAAGACATCTTCGATATGTATTTACTTTTGTACTTTTTTATACATTTTATTTTTTCTCACTCATAAATACCTAAGGTTTTCTATACCTAGCCCTGATGCTTTACTTCAGTAGGATATTAATATCAATTAATATTTTTACTTTCAATTTGGTTAAATAAGAAAGTGGTTATTAGGTGTTTCCTGTAGAATAATTTCTTGTCTTGAATGTTAATCCAAAATATAGAACTACAAGTAACAGAAATGAAACTGAGTTTTCCTAAATTGTTCCCTTGTTTGTTTGTTTTTTAAATAGTTTTTGCACTATTCACATATATAACTAAGTCTGAAACATTACGTATATTAATTATATCATCATGTTTTAAGTTAGTGAACTGTAATGATCACAATATTTATTTCTTTAACCTTTTCACTGCATTGTATCACTTTAGAACCAAGTGAAAATGGAGTTCAGTTACAGTGATGATGAGGATCAGGGTAGTTCACACTATAACGTTATGAATGTGAAAACAGAAACTGAATTTCAAAGAGAGATTGAATGTGGACTAGAAAGAACATCTGGTAAGTACAAACATCTAAAACTAATATTTCTTGACACTGGCTTAAAACCAGTTACAGGTTCAGTAGGAGTGACAGACCTTTTTACCCTTAAGAAACCATAAGCATTTCCATACTATAAATTTTAATGATTTTGTATTTTCAGGAAATTTGGCAAGCTTTCAGTAAATGTCACAAGTCTCTTTTTTTTCTTTTTTTTTGTACACAAAATGTCAGATTTTTTTTATTAACACTTTCTCTACAGGCATCTCTTTCTGTGCAAGTTATGAGGTTTTAGAGTTACATTCAGAATTTAATTAAACTACTTTCTTATCATGGTATACAAATACAGGATAAGAATAGCTAATCAAATTTTTATGTTATACAAATTTTAAGTTCTTGTAAGGATTTTAAATATATGTGTGAGCTGAGGATTCTTCTACAGTAGGTGTCTGTGACTTGATGATAAATTTTAACAATAAATGGGCAGCACACAATCCACTTGTATTAG